TCTATAAAAAAAATAATGAATGATTAAATATCTAAAATTTAATAAAAATAATCTCTATTAACTAACATTACTAATAACAATATTTAACTTTAACTCAATTTTATTTTCCTCTCTCCAAGAATGGATTGATTGAGGGGTTGACACTGACAACAATCACCCTAAAATTTTGAAAAAAAATACTTAAATATAATATTAGTATTAGTTAAGAATATTTTTAAATTATATGAGTTCGCTACTCCAAGATATTTTTAATACTCATCTCCTTAAGATATTCGTATGTTTATAGCTTAAAACCCATAATTATCCACGTAAAAGAAGTCATTTAAATTTTAAAGTGAACATTTAAAAACAAAAAGTTAGTGAAACACGATTTCCATCCGCTTGAATTTTCAGCTCAATAATCCTCATTTTCGAAGTTGTAATCTTCACACATTAATTTTACGTGGATTTCTCTCTCTCTCTCTCTCTCTTATTATATGTTTTAGTTCTCTCTTTTTTCCATTTTTTTTTTAATATAAAATGCATTACCATATAATATACCAAAAACAACTAGTTCGAGCGACCCCCAAGTGAGGATAAATTATTCGGTGCTGGAAGAGCACCATGTCAGCAGAAATTATTCGATGCCCTGTAAGCATCACATCACAGCTACGTGGTGTGCCTTGATTGGTGTAAAACACCAAATGGCACTGCTGACGCAGTGCTCTTAAAGCATTAAATAATTTCTCCTCAGACCACTTTTGCTGCCACATTAAATTAATTATTGGGGATGTATTTGGTTCAATACGATCGGTACTTATGTAAAACAAATTATCGAATTGATGATGTCAGTTTTATTATTTTGAAAATTGATACAAACCGTTTTTCTCATTAAATAACACCGTTGAAACGTTTTGGTTCGGTACAGTTTCATCGGTTTAAAACATTTCAAACTTGAGTCACTTTTAAATATAATTACTAATCTATATAAAAATATTAAATTAGTTATTTGTCTACTATTTCAAACATTTTCAATCCATCAATTTAATAAATGTTTTTTAATCCCTAGATTAACAAAAATAAAAACAAAGAAGTTAAAAAGTACTACGGTTTCAAGAATAATTAGTTAGAGTTAAAATTATATATAATAAGAGTTTACAAATTTAGATTATAAAGATTAATTAATTAAGGTTAATAATTTATTGTACTTATTAATATCATTATATTATTAGATTATATATATATATATATTTTATAAATACAATATATGTTGAAGCGGTCAGTTTCGGTTTAGTTTTGTGCACAAGGTGCTTGAACCGATATCGAACCAAAAATCGAACAAAATCAAATTTAAGAATTGCATAGACCAATTCTTATTAAAAAAAACATACCAAATATAATCGGTTTGATCCGATTCAATCAATGTGATTGATTTTTTTCATTTTTCTGGCATCCCTATTAATTATAATGTTACACACAAAATTTAGTTACATAGAATAAGATGGGAATAATTTAGAGATAAAATCTACTCAAGTTGCTTAATTTTTCTACTTTCTACTACTTTTTTTAAAGCATGTTTACATAAATTATATTCCAATCCACAACTCATAAAAATCAACCAACATATGCAAATTATGTTGGTTGATTTTAAAGAATATATTTTCACGCACAATAGTAATGATTGAACCAAAACGTAGAAAGACAATAACTAGGTCAAAGGAGAACAATACACAAAGTAAATCTTTAATGAATTTATAAATGCAAAGCAAATAATAATAATAATAATAATAATAATAATAATAATAATAGCAAAAATTAAATTAATGCATAGAATAAGAAAAAAAATCCAAGAATAAAAAGTATACCCCCAAAAAATGATTGGAACTAATAATTTATTAGCAAATATATATATATATATATATAATTTATTGGCCTGATTTATCCCAACTCATAGGAAGGAACCCACCACCAAAGTAACAATGGACCTCACCTTCCATTCACAACCTAAGCCCGAGGTTCGAGAGGGATAAAGTGCAGAGACCGAAGTCAAAGCAAGCAAGCGCTCCCCAGGAAATCAACCTTGGATCATAGGCATAGAAGGCAAGTGCCCAACCCACATTACCACCCACCCCAGTAGTAAGAGGCTAATGAATTTGGAAGCGTTATTTTAGACTAAATTTTGGAGTCCAAGGTACAAACCTTGCTTGTCTTACCCCAAGGCGGGCTCTATTTTGAGGTAACAAATTATTTGCAATGTTTTTTAGTGGTTATGGGAATTGGATGGAAAGTGGTGTCTTAAATGGTGTCTTCATATAAACTGCACCATTTGGAAAAAAATAATTAGTGACATAGTAAATTGTCCTCAATTGATTGGCTCAAAACTTTTATTCAGTAGTGAACAAACAATATTGAATTTAAAAGTTGTTAAATTAAGGGAGTCAGTGGGTGTGGCTTGGGGCCGATTTGATTGAGTATTTGAATTGCACAGAGTATTTAATTTCAACTGTGATTGATTTGGGTTGGATTATATTATTGTCACCTTTTATATATTGAAAGTTGATAATTAAAAAGTAAAAGTTAAAAATATTTTTCACTTAACTTTTAGATAATTAATTTTTTAACTTATTTAAGTTATTTTTATTCTATTAAGTTGTTGGTAAAAACTGTACTAAATAATTTGACACAAATTTTATAATAAAAATAAATCTATAACCATTTCAGATAAATTGCACTAGATAGTCTTTTTATGTTGAGAAGTGTCTTCAGGCACAGGTTATTCGCTAGGTGCCCTATTCCTTTAGTCTTAATCCAGTAGTTTGCTTTGCTTCTTATCTTTTGTCACCAATAGTTTGTTTGGATTTTATCAAATCTGATCCCTTTTTTTTTGTATGGTATTTTTTTTTTTAAATGGTTTTTCCTTTCTTTAGTCCTCTATGAGGAATCACGTGTATGTTAAACATGAAAAAGGTGTTGAAGTGTGAATGTGACAATTGCTAGTAGTTAGCTTGATAATTACAGGTAAATTGAGGGCGACATTGATGCTTTTTATCAAGAAAAGTTATATTGGAAAATTTTTTATGTTCAATTCTTCTTAATTCATAATTATTGATTTTTCTATTTTTCATACGTATTTTGATATGATTTTTCTATTATGATTTCTTGTAACTAATTTTTTAAAACGAATTTAGTCATCGGAGTGATTTTTTTCCAAGTGACTTAACTGCACTTAAAATGTTGGAATTGTGTTGGTTCTCTTTACAAGAAACAAGGAATTGTGTTGGTGGTTAGCTGTTTCATTCTAAACTAGTCTTCTTTTTTAATAAAAGGTAAATTATAAATACACCTCATGAGGTTTGCTTAAAGTACAGATTGCCCCATGTGGTTTGTAAAATTACAAATACCTCATTGTTAGTATTTTTTATTTAACAGAATTAACTAAAAAAATGAAATTCATAATTCCTCTCTTATACAATAATAAAATTACCTAAATTATTAATTGAAACATATTTCTAATATCATTAAAAACTGTTAATTGCCTTGATGATTTATTAATAAAAGGGACGATTTGTTATCAAATTAGAAACCTCAATGATGGAATGTAATTTCCAAAATTACAGTGGGTGATTCGTATTTTAATTAAACCTTAGGGGTTATATTTGTAACTTACGCTTTAATAAACTAGGATGATTGCTTTTTCGTACCAAATTGTTCATTCACCATTTCACGAAAGGCATTGAAATTTAAGAGTTACCTAGTTATCGGACTAAGGGTTGCTGTTGTGTCTTATGGCACAGCAACCCTATTCTGAGGTTCTATCGAGGCATTTTTTTACTATATTTTAATAATCTGAATCGTTCATATTGTAAGGTTTGTCGAGTATATTATTCGTGTAAAAAATTGAATTAATCAAACATATGTAACCCCATGATCAATTCCTAATTAAAAAAATTATTAAAATCACGTTAACCATTTATTTTTTGAAAAACAAATGTGCTCTTATTATGAGGTTACAAATGTTCGATTCACTTGATTTTTTGCATGAATGATCTATTCAACGAACCTTATAATATAAACGGTTCGGATTATCGAAAAAAACTCGGGACACGCCCCCATTGGGCCTCACAGCAGGTACCCCATTTCCCTAGTTATCATACTAATTTAGAAACATTTTTTTATTTAAAGTTATCCCATACATGTGCCATTTTAACTTGAATATCTTTGCTTGTACCATTTTAACGTGGATATCTTTGTCGGTAGTGCTACACACATCAATTGATATACCAATTAGTGTATCAATATATGTTATGACATTATTATTTCAAAATTATGACCCCACCCATTATACAAATTACAAAGACTCAAAACCTTTAAAATTATGTCACATCATCTATTAGTACATTAATTGATATACCAATTTGTGCATATGGCATTATTTTATCTTGGCTTATGCTAAACACAGTAACATTTTTATTTCTAAAATTTGATGTTTAAACTTTAATTATGAAGTTTACTAAAAGGCATCTCATGTGTAAAGTTTTATATTGTGATAAAATTATTGTCATTTTAGATTGATTTATTACAATTGAGTTATGTTGCGTAGTAAAATTATTGATTTATTTTAATTAATTCTTATAGAGTGTGTGATACTAAAAAAAATTGCTCAAAGTGCCTTTAAGTTTGAGTCATCCCTAATATATGAACATGGGGAACTATTGATAATTTCGTATCACAAGACATGTCTCAAAAGGAAGCAATTTTAATAATGAGAAAAGTTAAGGATCATGAAAAAAAACATTCATGAAAATGATCATGAAAGATTTATGATATTTGGATTACCTTAATTAGTATGTGGTGTTTTATTCTAAGTGTAATCCAAGGGTCACAAAATTTTCAGTATTACTTTCATGAAAGATTTTTCAGGATACCTAGCATTGCTATTTAATAATAGTAGTAAAAGCTTTATACAATACAAGTAAATTAGCCAATAAGAGAGAACCGAATAATAACAATAAAAGTCCCACTAAGAACAGTGAAATCAGTTTGACTCATCCGTGGTACATTATTTGATGCACTATTGTAATCTGAGAGTGCTCAAACAATGCATAGGTAATTCCATAACAATGAGAGAACCCACTATGAAACCTTGATATTTGACAAGTTTCGTATTTGATACAGAAGAAAATTCTGCCGCAGTGACAATTGTAAAATGGAGAAGACAATGCAGGAAGTTCAGTAGGCTCAAGCAGCTAATACACCGATATACCTGAGAATCCCTTTCTTCTCATGCAGTAAATCTCATTTTGTTGTATAATTTTGGCTCTGTAATTCAGAAAAAAAATATAGTAACAACAAATAAGGCTAGAAGAAAAAAAGTGGCTGTCAGCCAGAAAGAGTCGCCATTGTTTTAACAAATAAAAACACCAAAAACAGAAGTAACCTAATGTGTTTGTTGTAAAAAAAAATTATTAGTCGAAAAATAAAACAAGATTTAACTTTAAAACAAAAACAAAAAACCAAACCAAAGAAAGAAAGAAAAGAAGTTGCATTCCATTTGGAAAGGGGCTAGAGAGAGAGAGAGAGAATAAGGTTTCTTCCTTCGAGAATTTATTGTTTTCCTTCACCAAAACGACATCATTTTAATAAAGAAAATATATCATTCACCCCTTAAGTGAGACACGTGTCGCCCCTTCATCATTTCACTTCACAATCACTTCATGCATATCACTATTTTTGTATAACTTATAATGTATTTTCATTCAAAAGGGAATGAAAGAGTACTGCATGCTCTAAATTCCATCCTTCGAACCAGCCGCATCTCGACGAACTGTATTTGCACTGTTACTCTTGCTGAAAGAAAACACATCAAACAAGGCCAAGAAACAGCATCAGTACAAATATTGATAACACCATATATTTCCAAACAAATGTGAATTGCTTTTGCAAGTGATTAAACACCCATAGCACAAGTAATATGACATACACAATTAAATTTGATTTTTCATAGTGCATACAAACTTTTAGATCCGAGTAGTAGGTTATCCAAGCTCAGCTTTAAACAAGATTTTGACGAGCAGAGCACGAATCGAGCTCATGTAGCTCGGTTCATTGATCAGCTGTAGGAGGGAGAACAATCACGGCCCTATAATTTTGAAACAACCCCCAATGGTACAATCCCAAAACTTACATTCTTTGGAAATTATTTCAGACACATGCTCAAGCTTAAGATACACTGTGAGTACCACAATAAAACTTTTCAATATGCTGAAACGTCATCATGATCTAGACCACTCCACCTAATCTCAATCGAAGGCTCAAGAAAGAGAGAGAGCAGAAGGAAAGAAAGAAAAAAAAAACTATATTATGGGGACAAAAACAAGGTTGTTAAAATTAGGATCCTACGTGGGATCGTTGGAAGGAACTTGTGGATCGGATCATAAAATCGGATCGAGTATCATAAGATTCTACTTTCAATGTAAAATAAAATGAAAAATTATCGATAATGATAATATATGTTACATAATTTTAAAAAGATTAAAGAAAAATGATAAATTTGATATAATACATCTTTTATGTTAACATCAATTAGAAGAGACATTTGAAAAAAAAGTTTATAGTCAAATTTTTTATATAAATATACACATATACATACATATATATAAGAAATAAATAATAACAAAAAAAATTGTCAAGATCGGGATCATAGTAGAATTGGAATCGTATGCGATTCTACACAATTTTATGAATATGATCATAGCAACTTTAAGATCCTAATGTGATTTGGATTATTTGGCCCAACTGAAATCGTAGAATCGTAAGATCCTACAATCCGGATCAGGATTCTGATAACTATGGACATGAATGAGTTTATCCATCAACACATCTTGCTTCTAATGCTATATCGAAAGTTACACCAAGTATTGCACTAGACATTAATACTAGAGCTTTTTTAAGGGGACAACAGGGAGATCAAGAAGCACACGAATCACAATGCATCCAGTCTATGGCCCGAAAGATTGCATACCATTGTTGGGAAAATATAAAGTGTCTTTAACAAATTTAACTTCAGGCTAAATAATATAACAAGGACAACTTTACAGGGAGTAGAATAATTACATCAACCATGAATATCATATGCAATCTAAAATCAATACAAACTAATATTCATATTGAGAAAGAAAGAAAGAAAAAAGTACACCCTACCGTTCCATTTCCCGCTTCTGAATTTCCTGGGCGAACCTGTTGCAAGAATTTGGTCAACATTAGCTAGATTATGCCAAGTATTTATACTTAGATCAATACTAGTCAAGCAGGCTGCGTGCAAGGCATGCAATTGAATGCCGTTATAAGTTGGACAAATCAATGGGTTTAATTTGAGAAATATACAAAATACACCAAGTATGCTAAAACTTTTCAATATGCTCAAGCTTAAGATACACTGTGAGTACCACAATAAAACTTTCAAATATGCTGAAACGTCATCATGATCTAGACCACCCCACCACTAATCTCAATTGAAGGCTCAAGAAAGAGAGAGAGCAGAAGGGGGGGAAAAAAACAGTATTATGGTAACATAAATGAGTCGATCCATCAACACATCTTGCTTTTAATGCTATATCCAAAGTTACACCAAGTATTGCACTAGACATTAATACTAGAGCCTTTTTGAGGGGACACCAGGGAGATCAAGAAGCACACGAATCACAATGCATCCAGTCTATGGCCCAAAAGATTACATTCCATTGTTGGGAAAATATAAAGTGTCTTTAACAAATTTAACTTTGGTCTAAATAACATAACTACAAGGCCAACTTTACACAGAGTAGAATCATTACATCAACCACAAATATCATATGCAATCTAAAATCAATATAAAATAATATTCATATTGAGAAGAAGAAAAAAAAGTACACCCTACAGTTTTATTGCCTGCATTGCCATCGCATGCTGCTCATTTTGCAGGTTGTGCCTGTTGCAAGAATTTGGTCAACATTAGATAGATTATGCCAAGTATTTATACTTAGATCAATACTAGTCAAGCAGGCTGCGTGCAAGGCATGCAATTGAATGCCAGCATAAGTTGGACAAATCAATGGGTTTAATTTGAGAAATATACAAAATACATTGTTAAAAAGTATAATTCCAATATGTAGGCAAAATTGTAGTGAATTCATAATTAAATAGGTATTACAACTTATAATTCAAATAAAATATAACCAAATGAAGCCATTTTCTGCATTAAACAATTAAAACAGTCATCATTTTAAGTTGAACTAATGAAAATGATATTTAACAATAATATGATCAATAATTTAGTTTACTAAGTTTCACTAACATATTTTCTTTAGTAGTCGGACAAAAATAATGAAAGTTTATATGGTTAAGCTATGCATCTGTATTACTTCATTTGTTCTTTGACGAAGAAAATAGGAGAAAATCAGAGCTAGGTTGTGACGATCCCAGCGTGCATATCATTTTTTTGCATATTATTTATTTGAGAATATTTGCATGATTATGTGTTTCATCTTGTGTTAACCTGTTCATTTATGGAATATTTGTTTGAAAGCTTACTTCGAATCTGAAATTGAAAGCCTTAGCGAATTCAAAAACCGAAATTAACTAGTTCAATAGGCTAATTAGAATATTTAGAATCATATGGTAAGTTTGATTAAAATTTGATTCAGACAATTAATTAGAATAAATCAATTAGAATTGAATAGGATTAATTAAACTTAAATAGGATTAATTAGCCTTAATCCTACTTAATTAGCCTAATCTAACCTAGCCTCTATATATGTTATAAGCATGTTTAGGAGTTCATTTCTTCAACATATTTGGCTGAAATTGTAGAGAGAGGGAGAGAACTCCTTTAGAGAGAGAAGGAGAAGAATTGTGAAGAATTAAGAAGGGATTTGAGAGAATTAAGCTACCAGCCTTCAATTACAAGCTCTAGGTTTGAATTACAATCATAACTCTCGTAGATAATTCATGTAGGAGTTGAATTCATGTAATAATAAGAGTAATCTTCATGTAATTGATAGGAAAATGGAAGAAATGAGTCAATTGAGAAGATGCATGCACAATGCATAATCTTCAAGCATGATTTCCAACAATTCATACATGCATGGAGTTTGTACTTGACATCATAGAGGATTCTCCATAATTTTTCACTCATCAATTCATATGTTCATATTTTGAAAGAAAAGATTTGAATTTCATCCATGCATGGTAGAATTACAAGGTTTTGAGTTTAATTTTGAGAATTGACAAAGGTTTTGAATTTGCGAATTCAAATGAGTTGTATTTATATGTTTTCCAAAGAGTCTTGATGCTTTTGGGACCAGCCATGCAAGTTATGCAACTTAAATTCATGCTTTTGAACTTCAATTATGTTCTAGAAATTCCAAATTTTGGCCACTTCACTCGAGCGATGAAGTCATCGCTCGAGCACACTTAGCATGCATCCAGTATTTTGCAGAAACATTGCACTTGGCTCGAGCGACGAAATTATCGCTTAAGCGAACTCACGTTTCACACCACTTGCCTCAAGCGATTATCGAGCCTACATTTCGACCAACTAGAACTTTTGTAGACCAAGTGGTCCACTCGAGCGACCAATAGTGCGCTCGAGCAAACTGCCCTGTTTCATTAACTTTCGAAAAATGCTTTTAAGTGCATATTTCCATTCTCATGCACCTCTAGGCATTCTTGGGCATTGTTCAGGCATCATCAGGGAAGAGAATAATTAGGACCACATATAAGGGAATTGAATTAAGATACGATAATCGTTTAAGACAATGTGTTTCAATGTGTTGTGTGCCTTTATTATGTATTTTGTGTATGTGGTCGCCCGAATATCGGGTACAAACCCACTATGAACAATGTCTTTATAAAGCTATGTTCAAACGGTATTTTGAATTAGTCAAAAATGTTATTTGAAATCTTATTTTGCTATCTATGAATGAAGATCCTTTTTGAACTTGTAATCGTATCACTTATGAGGAAAAGCAATACGTGGTGGACCATAGCTTCTTCTTTAGCATCTTGTCCCAATTGAACATTCCCAATTAATTTTATACCCTTAACCACGATCTTCTCTGATTGACGGTCACATCTTTTATTACCCAACTCAATACCATTAAGCAATCTCGCCACACCGTATTATCAAATTTAATGTCCCTTAATTGTTCATCATACAATTACAACTTCTTTACTCCCCTCTTAGTCTTCTTAATATATCGGGAAATATTCTGAACGTACTGTCCGTGAATACACGCCACCTTAAAAGGTGTACGACCATGGTAACTATGGTTATATTCACTGGCCACCGGTGTCCTTGACCTTTGGTACGCAAGGGGGGTCCGATACTGGCTGCTAATTAATACCACAGCCCATTGGATTAATTGAAACACAGAGATCTCTGATGTTAGACCTTTGTCGCCCACATTGAATTACCCATTGAGGTTTATTGATTGACCGCGTTGCGGTCCTATTGACTTCGACACATTGTCATATTGTTACTCTAATGGATGTTACCATGTATTATGATTTGAATGGTTATTGTTATCGCAAAGCATTAATATAAATGTGATTTGAATTGTTTTGATTATCGAAACATTATGTTTCAAGATATATTTGTCTTCATTCATCAAACCCTTTATATTGAATATTGATATTACTCACTGGGCTCCAACTCACCCCTCTCCCTTATATATATGTAGGTAAGCAAGTGGAACGACAAATCTAGAGGTGCCTTGGGAGTCTACCCTTGTGAAGCCGTTTAGCGTGCCTCCGTGATGGGGTGTTACTTGGTCTCTTGAGGAGCCAAGCTTTTGTTAACCCTTTTATGAAGTCTTTTGTTTTGTTTTTGATGCTTGTGTATTATGGAACAAGTTTTATGTATCAAGTTGAAGTTGAAGTTTGATTGTAAATATTATTCTACGGTATAATGAATGACTTGATCTATTATGAAGTTATCATGTAAGCACTACTCAATGAAATTAATTATATTTTGTAATTGCTTTCGCTATCCCCCAATTATATATAATGATATGATTTTGTTATTGAGGCCAGAGGTAATCTGGAATTACTGGCTGGTCATGACCTAAGCCTCTAGGGGCCGGTTTGGATAGGCGGTAGTTAAAGTTCACATGGTATGTATGCAGGAATCATTTGAAGTCCTGATATGAAGAAAAATGGACTGACTACATTTTGATTCAGACCCATTTAATATGGTAGTTAACAAAAAAAACAAAAAAGCACAAACCAATAGAAGACCCCAACTCATTAGATACAAAGATGGAAATCCAAATTGATCAATATTTAAAAAAAGCAAGTGCTATTCCATACAAAAGAATGCAACACGACCCACAAAAAGAAAACCCAAAGAAAGCAAGAAAATTAGATAATGGTCATGGTTTATAATAGATGGTGGGAGGAAGAGATCTACTTCCTCAGTTTGAACTGTGTTACTTGTACATGAGCGGAAGGCACACACGGAGATGAAAATGTAGAGAGATTATGTCATGATTCTCTCATTCCCTCCTTAATTTTTTTTCAATGAAGTTTTGTTCTACTGAGATTATTGTTTTCCAGGATGCACAAGGACTAAAATTGGTATTTTGGCCAGGCCAAAAATGGCTAGACAAATAAAGTAATGGAGCTTACATATATTGTCGACATAGATAAATTATTAAAAGCAACTATTTACATACAAACCATGAATCAAGAAGGCTCAACAATAAGCAAGGGTCCTTCTTCCCAAGATATAATAGTTTCTTTCCAAAAATGGCAATTCAGAAAGCTCTTTAAAAGCCTCTCAACAATGTATGTGTCTTCTGGTAAGTAAGTTATAGATGTTTCTTTTCTTTTCTAGTAAAAGTGAGTTTCTCTTATTTGATTTGATCCAAGGACAGGCCATCAGTTTTTATTTGATTTTATTTTTGTTTCTAGCTTCTGAATCATATTTGAATGGTTAGTAAATTAATCTATCTATCTATCAAAACCATTAAAGATGGGAGAAAAATAACACTTACATCTCGGCAAGACAACGGCCGGCAAAAACTCCAGCAATAACGGCTGGAATTCCCAGAACTGGCACAATAACAAAAGTTTCAATACTTGATTTAAAGGCTGCGAATTCAAAAGAATTAATAATACAAAAACCCAAACTTACGCCACTTTTTTGCAGTTTCAGAAAGAGGCCCCATCTTTGGCTGTGAAATTCTTCTAGTTCTATAAACAGATGAATCAATCGGATTAAATCAAATCAAATCAAAACAAAACAAATACAAAGTAGAAAAGAAACCATGAATGAATGATTTTCACTCCAAGAAAAGCAATCATCATCAATCAGTAAATCAAAATTAATATATAAAACAAAGATCTATGGAGAACAATCGAGAAAGATTAGGGTTTCAACATATAAACTAAAATTGACGCAGAATCAATCACCCCCCTCTCTCTTCTTCTTCTTCTGCGCGCACCCTCGTCTCCTTATATAGGTTTTGGGATAAATTATTTAGGGTAAATATTCACTTTCTCACTTTAACCTTATTCTTTCTCACTTTAACTTTTTATGTCTTAGATTTTTTTTAATTTACTTTTTAAATTAATTTTTATTCAAAATTTGATAAAAAAAAATATCATAATATAATAATTATTATATAATATAAAAAATATATTATTATATTAAAATTTAAGTTTATATTAGAGATGTAATTTATATATAACAAAATATTTTTATACTACTTGATATCCTTTCTATGTTTGATCACTTTTCCACCTTGATCCTTAAAGCTTTTTTTTTTTTTTTAAGATTTTTCTATTTTACTTTTAAAGTCAATTTATATTCAAAATTAGATAGAAAATAACACATTGACACTCATGTGGTATAAAAATATTTAAGGATTAATCACTTAAAAGTCCTAATGACAACATGTGTGATAGCTTAAGTCCTGTGTAAAAGTTTTTGAACGCACAAGTCCCATTTTGAATTGTAATTGATGTTCCTACCCCCCAACAACAACAACAACCACACACACACACACACTCTCTCTCTCTCTCTCTCTCTCTCTCTCCCTCTCCCTCCCTTTTCCCCACAGACCCAACCTCTGGTCTCTTCCGTACGACTCCTCCTTCCCCTTCGTCCAGTGCATCATCGCCTCCAGCACCGACCTCGACCACGTCGACGTCACCGCCTGCCACCGCCGTGGTATCACTGTCACCGACACCAGCGACGCCTTCTCCGCCGATGCTGCTAACCACTTTAGGAGTTTATTAACTAGTAGAATAGCACACAACCAAAAAGCACTATTCCACCATGGACCACATATAGAAGCAAATGCAAAAACTGAAAAAACAGAAGTCTTCATTGCTTCCTGACTTCAAGATGTGTAAACTGAGAAATTTCTCAATTTTACTGAATATTTTTGTAAACTGAAATCATTCTCAATTTTAAATTAAGAATATTCTCAATTTTGGAACTAAGAATGCCTCAGTTCTTTACCTACAAACATTCTCAACCTGGGGGCTGCTTTGTTCTTCGGAAGCCATTGAAATATGCAACTGAAACAAGCCCCCTTCAAGCCCTTCTCAATTTTTTCAAGGTTAAATTTGAGAATATCATCAATCTACTCTCTCTCTCTCTCTCTCTCTTACCCTCACCTTCATCCTCCTTTTTCTACACTTTTCCAAATTTGAAAATGTCCAGATCTGGTTTCGGATAGACATGAATGGGTTACAACGGTGAGAGGCGGCGATGGCGACAATGAGCTACGATGGCGAGAAGCGATGGGCAACAATGACTATGTCTTCCTTGCTCTGAAAATCATTGACCTGAGATCCGACGATTGATGGGCGAATGGGTCTAATTTTGGGTTTGGATTGGGATCGAGCTGAGAATTGGCTCTGTGAAGAAAATACTGTTGTTTGGAGACCAAGGGAAGGAGATGAAGAGACTAAGGGATGAGAGTTGACTAGTAGAAGTGAGGTTGCTGCCATGAGTGCTTTACTTGTATGGATCTGCTAATAGTGATTCATATATGAAGTGAAAGAGTTAAAAGAGTTATAGATAGAGAGAGAGGAGAGGAACAAAATGGTAAGAGAGAGAGAGCCAGAGAGAGTGCGGGAACAAAATGTTTGGGGTTTTCAATTTGTAAGAGTAAATTGGTCATATAAAATTAACATAGGACTTGTAAGTTTAAAGTTTTGTGAGTAGGATCTAAGCTACCATTAATTGTCAAAACAAGACTTGTGTGTAAATGCCCCAATATTTTATTATAGGGCAAATTACTTACACCTCCCTTAAGGTTTAACAAAATTACAGATTTTTCCCTTAGGTTTCAAAAATTACATCCCATCCCATCGCAATTAACACCGTTAACAGATATCATAAATGGACTAAAATGCCCTATTGACAAATAAGGGAAAATTACCTACACCCCCTTGAGGTTTAGCTAAATTACAAATTCCCCCTGAGGTTTAGCTAAATTACAAATTCCCCCTGAGGTTTAGCTAAATTATCATTTTTAAATAAGTTATGAAATGCAAAATTAAAATGGAAAAACACTTATCACACTACAAAAAATTAAGGTTTTAGTGACCAAAATTTAGGGGCAAAATTATTTTAGAGGACCAAATATTTTTGTTGCGAAAAGTGTCGTTATTATATTTTTAGTAACGAAAATTGAACATTAGTGATTAATTATTATATTTTTGGTATTATATTTTATCTCAAAAAATAAATCATTTTGAGACCAAATTATTTTTTTTCCTAAAAGTCTAGAATATGTTTGGTTTGATTTTTAGAAATTTATTTTTTAATTTTTCAAAAAAATTAAAAATTAATTTGGTTAAGAAATAAAAAATAAAAAATTATTGGTATTTTTATATAATTTTATCTTTTGAGTGGTTAGAAATAATTCTTACAAATTAAATATATTTTTCATATTTATTTTTATTAAATTAGTTTTTATTTTATTTTTTTAAATTCTGAAATTTTTTTCTAAACAACAAACCAAATATGGTTCCAAAAACTTTTTTTTTTTCCATTTAATGTAATTCTTTTGTAAATTTTGTTGATTTATCAAATGGATTTCAACGGGGGCAATGTCGCCCATCAATTTATATTTTGGTGATGTCAACTAACCATTCTTAATGTTTAGTTAATGGTAGGGGTTAAATTGTTATGCGAATATAAACCTCGAGGGTGGGATGTAATTTCTGAAACCTCAGGGCGAAATCTGTAATTTAACTAAACCTTAAGGGAGATGTAGGTAATTTGCCCTTTATTGTATATAACTGACATTTCTTACATAAACTTAAATATTAATATAATAATATATTTTTTATATTACGTAACAGTTATTAGGGCTGTGCAAAATACCGCTCAATACGCTAAAACTGCATCAATTCGTATCAATCCGCACCGCTCTAACCACTAACCGCAGCTTAAACTTTAAAATTTATAATCCGCCAACCTAACCACTCCACTCCGCTATAGTTAATACATATATACTTTTTAACTTCCAATGAAATATCAAATATAAAAATGAGTATGAGAGAGATTTATGATATGAAGTTTATTACAAATTAGTGGTTATATATATGAAACATATTATGTAAAATTACTTTATATTATATATTTGAAAAATATTATACAAATTAGTGTTATATATTATGCAAATGTATGATAATTAGTTAGAATATTCTTTAATCCGTCAATCCGCCAAAAACCACTCGAACTACAATTTGTCAATCCGCTAACCCGCCATTCAATTTGTAATTTTACTCTCAAACCGTCCAAACCACACCGCGTACACCCCTAAGTTATTATGGCATTTTATATCTAATTTTGAACAAAAATTAATTTTAGGGGTAAGTGAAAAAGTTTTGAAACATGAAAGGTTAAAGCAAGATAAAACAAACTTTAAGGGCCAAAGTTTAATTTATCCAAAAAAAAAAAATCATAAACAAAAAGGGAAATAACTATTCAGAGCTAGTTTGGAAACATAATTTCAGAAGGGTGATAAAGTTTGTAAATTTTAATAATTAAAATGATAAGTTTTTTCATTGTATTGTAATTATTTTAAGAAGGTACAATTGAGGTGTAATTTCCCCAAACAAAAACACTATGGCTTATCAAACTCTACCTTTTTAATTATTGGGTAAATTACCAACACCCCTTGAGGTTTGACTAAAATACGAATTTTCCCTGAGGTTTGAAAAACTACAAATTGCCTCCTAAGATTTATATTTGCATAAACCCTGAGGTTTATATTTGCATAACATTTGTTATGCAAATATAAATCTCAGGGGGTGAGATGTAACTTTTCAAACCTAAGGGAGAATCCATATTTTAGTCAAACCTCGAGGGGGTGTTGGTAATTTGTCCTTAATTATTTGAATTTAAATCCTGATTTTTAAAATACTATTAATTTCTCGGCCTCAAAAAAAAAAAAATATACTATCAATTTCTACCATTTGTTGGGGACAATTTAATCACTTTTGGGTGGTGATGCTGGACCGCAATTGTGTTTTGTTTTTGTTTTGTTTTTTTTAAGCATACTGCTACTATGGTTATGGACTAAGAAAGTAATGAGAGTTGTGGCAATGAGCTAAGGATTGGATTTAATAGTGATATACATGAAAAAATGATAGAGCGGTACCAATGGATTGTGAAAGAGGACGAGTGGTGATCGATCAAAAGGAAGTGTGAGAGATGACCGACTTTAATACTTTCAATTCCATGTATATATGTAATGCAAATCTAATAAATATGAAATAAAAATATAAATTTATAATTATTTTAAATTTAAAAAAAAAAAGTTTATTATGCTCACTATTAAATGATTTAATAAAATATTTCTATTACAAATATGCAAGGGAGAGAATCACAATTCGGAAGAGACTATCAATTGTAATGAAAAACACAGACACACACACAACAAAAAAAAAAACTTCTTATATTGTCTAAATTGCCCATTTTCCGTTAATTGGCTAAATTCCAAAGTTAATTGAATAGTTAGAATTGATACAATTTTAAAATCCATTTATTTATTTATTTATTTTTTTGTCTTTTGTTAAAAAAATATTCATATTAAAAAAATTTATTATTCAAGCTCTTGTGATTCAGAAGGATATAAAAAAAAATTAAAATTTAAAACCAAAAATAACAAAAAATAAAAATATAAACTTTTAATAGCAATTAATAATTTGATATTTTATAATATGTTATGTTAGAGCAATAATATAATGACACATAATTATGACACATTTGAATATTAATCTCATTCTAATTGTAATAACATAATTTAAAAAATAATTTAAATTTAAAATTTAATTTTATAATTTAATAAAGGATGCATAAATTAAAAAATGAGTATTGATCTTATTTCAATTACGGTAACATACTTTAAAGAACAATTTAAATTTAAAATTTTATTTTAAGAATATAAAATTAATTTATAAACCAATCAAATTGTTACACATTAACAAAAATTAAACAAAATTTAAAAAATGAAAAAAAGAAAAAAGAATTACACCTTTCAACCTTAATAAGATGACAATATTTTACAATTATAATAATATATAAATGTTAATAAAATATGCATCTTGCACTAATTTACTTGACACGAAACCACGATAACTTCTAATGAATTTTCATTCAGTAGTTAATGAGAGTACTGCATGCTCTAACTTCCATCCTCCGAACCAGATGCATCAGTCTCACTCTCGGTCAACTGTGTTTTCATCCCTTGCTGAGAAAGAAAAAAAACAAAAAAACAAAAAAAAAAATACAACACATCAAACAAGGCCAGGAAATAACATCATATTCCTCCACCAAACAAAAAAAAAAAAGAAAAAGAAAAAGAAAAAGAAAAAGAAATAACATCAGCACAAATATTGATAACACCATATATTTCCAAACAAATGTGAAATGCTTTTGCAAGTGATTAAACACCAAAAGCACAAATAACTTGAAATATACAATTAAATTTGATTTTTTTTATAGCGTATACAAACTTATCGATCCGAGTAGAATAGGTATCCAAGTTTAGCTTAAAATCTTAACGAGTTAATCTAGAACAAAATTTTGACGAGTAGAGCACAAGTCAAGCTCATATCACTTGGTTCATTAGTCAGCTGTAGGAGGGAGGAACAACCACAGCCCTGTAATTTTGAAACAACCCCCAACGGTACAATCCACAAACTTTGCATCTTACCCAATATTAGGATCCTCAAACTTAGCTTCTTTGGAAATTATTTCAGACACATGCTCAAACTTAAGATACACTGTGAGTATCAGTGTTATTAAAAGCGCAACTAGGCGCGCGACTAGGCACAAAGCCCAGCCATGCCCACCCCTTGTGCCTTGCAGTGGTCAAGGCGAGGCGATGTCACTAAGGCGCAATTAAAGCGCACGACTCGAGCTAGGCGCATTTAAGCCCAAGGTTTTTTTTTTTTTTTTTTCATACAAATTGGACCACCAAGATTTCATAGGTCAGCTACAGCAGATTATTTCCTTCAAATATACTTGAAGATTTAGCCCAAATCAGCGACAACGAAAGAAACACCAAGCCCTAATCCAAATCTCCAAAGAAGTTCTTCTCTTCCAGTCATCTTCCAGCGCAGGCCTCAGTCGTCTTCCAGTCCAAGATGTCCAAGTATGTTCTTCTCTTTGTTTCTTCGTCTCTTCTTCCCCTTTTCTCCGTCTGTTCTCTTCGTCTGCTTGTTCGTCAGTCTTTTCTGTCTTCGTCTTCTTCTTCTTCTTGTTCGTCTGTTCTTCGTCTTCTTCTCCTTCGTCTCTTCGTTAGTTCTTCGTCTGTTCTTCGTCTCTTCGTTTCTTTTTTGCTTATACCTTCTTCTTTTTCTTTTATTTTTTGCTTTTCTTTTATTTATTTTTTATTATTATTTTTTTTTTGCCTTCTCCTCGTCTGTTTGAACCTTTTTTTTATTTATTTATTTTTAATTTTGAATTGCTCTGTTTCTTCTCTACTTCTATGATTTAGATGGCATCCGAAAGTACAAGAAAAGATCCTGCATGGAAATATACACATCAGTTAGATCCTAAGAACCCAAATCAATTTAAGTGTAATTTTTGTGGTAAAATATCTAATGGAGGGGTTTATAGAGTCAAACAGCATCTTGTTGGAGGTTCAAGGAATGTCACAGCTTGTCAAAAATGTCCACCTGATGTAAGGGAGGAGATAAAAGAGTATATGGGAAACAAGAAAACACAGAAAGAGCAAATGAACTTGTTGCCTCATTTTGATGAGATGAACAATGATTTTGAAGAGGATGAAGATGACATTGCTTATGAGGTTCATCGGCCTCGTGGACCATGTGGTAAATCATTGCCAAGCAATCAAAATAGTTCTTTTGCTGGATCAAAAAGGTTGAAGAAGAAGGGGCCCATGGATGTATTCTACATACCCAATCCTGATTTTGTGGTGCAAAATATAAAAGGAACACAAACAACAATTGATCACAATGATCCTTATAAGAAAGAAATAAGAGACCGAGCAGTGATAAGAATCACAAGGTGGATGTATGATGTAGGTATAGCTTTTAATGCAGTTAGTTATGATAGCTTTGGACCAATGGTTGAAGCTATTGGGCAGTATGGTCCTGGTATGAAACCTCCCAGTTTCCGTGAAGTGCGGGTTCCATATCTGAAGAAAGAGTTGAATCATACAAATGAGTTGATGAGGATTCATAAAGAGGAATGGGTGAAATATGGGTGTTCCTTGATGTCAGATGGATGGACTTCGCAGAATGGAAGGACTTTGATTAATTTTTTAGTCAATTGTCCTAGAGGAACTATGTTTGTTGAGTCCATCGATGCTTCAAGCTATTCAAAGGATGGGCAAAAACTCTTCGAACTACTTGATAACTGTGTGGATGATGTTGGAGAAGTTAATGTAGTCCATATTATCACAGATAGTGCCTCAGCTAATGTGTTGGCTAGTAATAATCTTTTGTCTTGATTTTTAAAAAATATGTACTTACTAACTAGTTAGTTAGTTAGTTTAGTTGTTATTAAATAATCTTCTGTGTTTTGTTTCTATAATTTTAATAGGTAAGTTTTTGGAGGCAAAGAGACCACACCTTTTTTGGACACCATGTGCAGCTCACTGCTTGGATTTGATACTAGAAGATATTTTCAAATTGCCACATATGAAGAAGATATTTGACAAGGCTATTCGGGTACACGGTTATATTTATAACCGTCCAGGTGTGTTGAATATGATGAGGATGTTTACACAGTTAAAGAATTTGGTCAAGCCTGCAAAGACAAGATTTGCAACAGCCTTTCTCACCCTATCTAGGATTCATCAACAAAAAAGCAACTAGAGAAAGATGTTCACTTCGGAGGAATGGACAAGCTCCAAATGGACAAAGGAGCCAAAGGGTAAACAAGCAACACAGATTATGTTGATGCCATCATTTTGGAATTTGGCTGTCTACGCTCTTAAGGTCTCAGGTCCACTTGTGCATGTGCTTAGGTTGGTTGATTCTGAGAAAAAAACCTGCCATGGGGTACATTTATGAGGCTATGGATAGGGCTAAAGAAAGTATTGCAAAGTCATTTAATGAAAAAGAAGAAAAATACAAGAACATCTTTGAAATCATTGACAATAGGTGGAATATCCAATTGCATCAACCTCTTCATGCAGCTGGCCATTTTTTGAATCCGGAGTTCTTCTATTCTAATCCAAGTATTGAGCATGATCCTGAAATCATGACAGGGTTGTATAAGTGTGTGTCAAGGTTGGTTCGAGGCACTGACATTCAAGATAAAATCACTCAAGAAATGAGTATTTATACAAAATCTGAAGGTCTCTTTGCGATGCCACTAGCAATTAGGCAGAGAATGACAAGGGCACCAGGTAATCCATTTTACACCATTAACTTTTTCATGCCTCTAGATTAAATCAAAAGTTTCTAGTTGTGCTAAAATTAGTTGCAATTCACAGCTGATTGGTGGTCTGCATATGGTTATTCAACCCCAAATTTGCAAAAGTTTGCCATAAAAGTTCTTAGCTTAACCTGTAGTGCATCTAATTGTGAAAGAAATTGGAGTGTATTTGAGCATGTGAGCATCTACCTCAAGTTTGGTGAATTCCCTTTATTTTTTTTCTTCCCCTTCTCATATGGTAAATTTTAATACATTCTCTTTTTCTTGTAGCTCCACAACAAAAAAAGAAATAGGTTGGAACAACAACGTCTCAATGATTTGGTATTTATTAAGTACAATAGACAATTGAGACGTCGATATGATATGCGTGACACACTTGATCCCATCGCTTTAACAAATATTGATGAAAGCAATGAGTGGTTGGTTGGGAGGACGGATGGAGAAGAGGATGAAGATAACGATAATGTGTTTGATGATGAAAATTTGATGTGGCGTGATGTTGCTAGAGCTTCTGGTGTTCGGGAAAGAAATAAGCGAACTAGATCAACAACTTCAAAGACACCATCATCATCGAGGGCAAGGCCAAGGGGTTCTAGATCATCAAATGCACGTCAATTGATAGATGAGGAAGAGGCAGATTCAGAGGAGACAGAAGAGGAAGATGTAGAAGGATACAAATCCAATGATGAAGAAGAAGATTATGAATTGCGTACTGTTGATATTGAGGATGATGATGATTGTTAGATCCTCATTGGATAAATGGAAGCAAAGACTTTATGTTTTGTTGGTTTAATTTGTTGATGTTTTGAAATGCATGCTTAAACTTGAAATATTGTTATTAGTTGACTTTTAGATCATGGATATTCGCGTTTTATGTTTTCAAATGCATGCTTATACTAATTTGTCTATGTTAAAATAGCGATATTTGTTGGTGTTTATTTTTTAAAATGTTCAATATTGCATTTTGTTTATGTTATACCAGTTAGTTATTTGCTTATATGTCTCATATTAAATTACATTATTTTAACTTGCCATGGTGCGCCTTACTTCGATAAAACCCGCGCCTCGCCTTGCGCCTTGCGCCTAAGGCCTCAAGAGACCTTGGCACCTTGGTGCGCTTATCGCTTTTAATAACACTGGCGAGTATAACAATAAAACTTTTCAATATGCTGAAACGTCATCATGAACTAGACCACCCCACCAAATCTCAATTGAAGGCTCAAGAAAGAAAGAGAGAGCAGAAGGGGAAAAAAAGACTATATTATGGGAACATAAATGAGTCGATCCATCAACACATCTTGCTTCTATATCGCAAGTTACACCAAGTATTGCACTAGACATCAATCCTAGAGCTTTTTAAGGGGACAATGGGGAGATCAAGAAGAACACAAATCACAATGAATCCAGTCTATGGCCCAAAAGATTACTACCATTGTTGGGAAAAAATTAGTGTCGTTAACAAATTTAACTTTAGGTTAACTAATATGACAAGAAACAGAGTAAAATCATTACATCAACCATAAATATCATATGCAATCTAAAATCAATTCAAAATACAAGGTAATATTCATATTGAAAGAAAAAGGAAAAAAACGCACACCCTACACGCAATTGAATGTCATTATAAGTTGGACAAATCAATGGGTTTAATTTGAGAAATATACAAAGTACATTGTTAAAACATATATTTCTAATTTGTAGGCAAAATTGTAGTGAATTGATAATTAAATAGGTATTACAGTTTATGTAATTCAAATAGAATAAAACCAAATGAAGCCATTTTCTGCATTAAACGATTAAATCAGTTATCATTTTAAGTTGAACTAATGAAATAATATTTAACAATAACATGAACAATAATTTATGTTACTAAGTTTCACTAACATATTTTCTTTAGTAGTTGGACAAAAAGAATGAAGGTTTATATGGTTAAACCATGCATCTACATTTCTTCAGTTAAAGTTCACATGGTATGTAAGCAGGAATCATTTGAAGTCCTGATATCAAGAAAAATGCACTGACTACAGTTTGCTTCAGACCATTTAATATGCTAGTTAATAAAAAAGGAAAAGAAAAAAGGATCAAATCAGTAGAAGATCCCAACCCATTAAACACAAAGATGAAATCCAAATTGATTGATATTAGAAAAAAGCAAGTGCTATTCCATACAAAAGCAACTTCCTCTATTTGAACTTTTTTACTTCTACATGAGCAGAAGGCACAAGGAAATGAATATGTAGAGAGATTATATCATGATTCTCTCATTGCCATCTTTCTGTCCTCTTTCCCATTTGATTTCAATGCTCTTAATCTTTTGCATTGAAGTTTTGTTCTACTGCGACTATTGTTTTCCAGGATGCACAAGGAATAAAATAGGTATTTCGGCCAGGCCAAAAGTGGCTACACAAATCAAGTAAGGGCGCTTACGTAAATTGTAGATTTAGATAAATTATTAAAAGAAAAATATTTACATACAAATCATGAATCAAGAATGATCCAGGATTTGGGTGGATTAGGGAGGAAGGAACCCATCAAAAAAAACACTACCCAAATCATTGATCCAAGGACAGGCCATCAGTTTTTATTTTATTTTATTTTATTTTATTTTTTGTTTCTGGTTTCCTGAAACATATTTGGATGGTTAGTAAATTAATCTATCTATCCATCTATCTATCTAAACCATTAAACTAAAGATGGGAGAAAAATAACACTTACGCCAGGCCAAGACGACTGCCAACAAAACCTCCAGCAAGACAGGATACAATCATCACAACTGGCACAATAACAAAGCAGCAATACTTCATTTATATATATATATATATATTATGATAGAAATAAGAGAGTGTAAGAAATCTCTTGTATATATTGTATCTGACAGTGTAAGAGGAGACTCCATTTATAGGAGCTATTGTTTACAACATCATTATGTTACATTACATAAAATATTAGAAAGTGGCCGAAAGCAGCCGAAAGTGAAGGCGTGCTCTGGCATCCCTCTGGCATCTAGCATCCTATATATATATATAATATATTAGTATAGCTGTGTGTGTTAATATAATATATATACATATTAATATATGTTAACATATTATATATAACAACAACAGCAAGTGCGAATTCAAAAGAATCAATAATACAAAAACCCAAACTTACTGACTACTGCTTTCTCGCTACATCTCCTCCTCAAAATTTCATTAACAAACCCCATCTTTGGCTGTGAAATTCTTCTAATTCTATAAAACAGATGAATCAATCGGATTAAATCAAATCAAAACAAAACAAATACAAAGCAGAAAAGAAACCATGAATGAATGATTTCCACTCCAAGAAACGCAATCATCATCAATCAATAAATCAAAATTAATATATAAAAACAAAGATCTATGGAGAACAATCAAGAAAGATTAGGGTTTCAACATATACCCTAAAATTGACGCAGAATCAATCCCTTCTTCTTCTGCTCGCAGCCTCTTCTCCTTCCTTATATAGGTTTTGGGATTATTTAGGGTAAATTACACCTTGCCCCTCTTTCTGTGTAATCACTTTCCCACTTTCATATTTTATGTTTAAATTTTTTTCTAATTTACTTCTCAATTGAACCCTCCCGCCCTTCTTCTTCTGCTCGCAGCCTCGTCTCCTTCCTTATATAGGTTTTGGGATTATTTAGGGTAAATTATACCTTGCCCCTCTCTGTGTAATCATTTTCCCATTTTCATATTTTATGTTTAAATTTTTTTCTAATTTACTTCTCAAGTTAATTTTTATACAAAATTAAACAAAAAAAATATCATAATAATTATCACATGATATAAAAATATATTATTATATTAAAATTTAAGTTTATTTTAGAAGTGTACGTCATATATAATAAAATAGTTTTATACTATGTGCATGTTTAGGAAGTGACTATTTTTAAGTTTTTTTTGGTTATTTGACTATTTTATAAGGTTATTTTAGTTTTTGTGTTGAGAAGATAGAATAAATTTTTATTTGAGTTGTTGTATTGAAAATTATGTTTGAAATGATGGCATAATATAAAATGACCAAACTGCCCTCCGTTCAGGCCCAAATAACAAATGATAGAGATAAATGTATATTCATCAGTTCTATTTTTTTTTGGATATGAGCTACACAAAGGTTAAAAATGCTTTTTCAAATTACTTCTCAATTGAACCCTCCCGCCCTTCTTCTTCTCGCAGCCTCGTCTCCTTATATAGGTTTTGGGATTATTTAGGGTAAATTACACCTTGCCCCTCTTTCTGTGTAATCATTTTCCCACTTTCATATTTTATGTTTAAATTTTTTTCTAATTTACTTCTCAAGTTAATTTTTATTCAAAATTAAACAAAAAATATCATAATAATTATCACATAATATAAAAATATATTATTATATTAGAGTTTAAGTTTATATTAGAAGTGTACGTTATATATAATAAAATAGTTTTATACTATGTGGTTGCTTGGGAAGTGACTATTTTTTAAGTTTTTTTTGGCTATTTGACTATTTTAAGAAGCTATTTTAGTTTTTGTGTTGAGAAGATGGAATGAATTTTTATTTGAGTTGTTGTATTGAAAATTGTGTTTGAAATGATGGTATAATGTAAAATGACCAAACTGCCCATCGTTCAAACCCAAATGACAAATGATAGAGATGAGAGAGATGAAGGTATATTCATCAGTTCTATTTTTTTTTATATGAGCTACACAATATTTAACTTTAACTCAATTTTATTTTCATCTCTCCAATAATGGATTGATTGAGGGGTTGACACTGGCAACAATCACCCTAAAATTTTGAAAAAAAAAATCCTTAAATATAATAGTAATATTAGTTAAGAATATATTTAAATTATATGAATTCGTTATACCAAAATATTTTTAATACTCATCTCCTTATGAAAACAGAGAGATATGGAAGAGAATTTTTGTATGTATATTTATTATTGATATGTCTATATGTGTTGTTTAGCTCCTTTATATAGAGGAGTTACAAGCCGAAAGAGAAAACATTAATGATGAAAGCATTACTAACATAATGAGTAAGAGCATCTCCAACGGTAGTAGGCATTTTACCTATCCAAATATTACTATAAAGTATATATTTTATTTTGCCTATCAACTGTTTTATGTTTTATTCCAACCATGCTCTTTATTTTAGCTATTTATCTAAATACTATTAATTTTATAGAATGCCACGTCAACAACAAAGATGGAGGGAAATGATCCTAATGATTGAATACATTTTGCCTAGCGTTGAAGGGTAGCTACATGTAGCTAGTGAATATGAGTTGAGCCAAAATGCCTAATCATATGCCTAGTGCATTGGAATTGAAAAAAATGAATCACACTAGGCATTTTAACTAACAAGTATTATATGCCTAGTGCATTGGAGATGCTCTAAAGTAGCACTAACATATAATATACTAACAGCTACAATCGTGGCTAACCCACTGATTGTGGAGTTTAACACAACAAAGGTAAATTCCTTCAATTACTCAATATGATTTCCAACACTCCCCCTCAAGTTGGAGAGTGAATATTGAGAAGTCCCAACTTGTGACTTACGTAATTGAAGCTATCCCGCCCCAAGGATTTCGTAAATATGTCTACAAGCTCATCTCGTGAAGAAATGTAGTTTAGAGAAATTTCACCAGCTTGTAGCTTCTCTCTCACAATGTGACAATCTATTTCAATATGTTTCGTTCTTTCGTAATAAACAGGATTTGCCGCTATATGCAATGCAGCTTGATTATCACAATACAAAGGAGCAGGGCCTTTTTGTTTGACTCTTAAATCTCGCAATATATATCACAGCCATGTAATTTCAAGGCATGTGTTTGCCATGGCCCTGTACTCGGCTTCTGCAGATGAACGAGCCACAGTTGACTGCTTCTTGGATTTCTATGAGACAAGAGAGTGACCTAGAAACACACAATAACCTGTAGTTGATCTTCTTGTTGTTGGACAACCTGCATGATCTGAATCACAATAAGCTTTCAACTTAAGATTGTTTATAGCTGGGAAAAACAAGCCTTGGCCAGGTGTACCCTTAATGAATCGCAAGACACGAAGTGCGGCCTCCATGTGTGGTTTTCTGGGTTGGTGCATAAACTGACTCAAATTATGAACTGCAAAAACAATGTCTGGTCTTGTGACAGTAAGATAAATTAATTTTCCAACCAACCTCCTATACCTCATTGGATCATTGAGTATAGCACCATCTGTGGTTTGTAATTTCACATTTTGTTCCATTGGACACTTTTCTGGCCGTGCCCCCGTTAAACCTGCATCTTGTAAAATATCTAGAGCGTATTTCCTTTGGGACAAAAAAAGACCTATCTTGGATCGCAAAAATTCAATGCCTAAAAAATACTTCAAGTCACTGAGATCCTTGATACGGAACTGTTTGAGATGGAAGGATTTAAGGTGTTCTATTTCTTTAAGATCATTGCCTGTAATGATAATATCATCAACGTAGATGAGCACTCCTGTAAAAGAATCACCATTAACTTTGGTAAAGAGGGAATAGTCAGCCATAGATTGGTGAAAACCTGCTTTCTTAACAGCTGTTAAAAATTTGGAGAACCAGCTACGAGAAGCTTGTTGCAGCCCATAAAGAGATTTATTAAGCCGACACACCAGATTCTCCCCCTGTTGGACTGTTTGAGAAGGAAAGATTTAAGGTGTTCCATTTCTTCAAGATTATTGCCTGTAATGATAATATCATCAACGTAGATGAGCACTCCTGTAAAAGAATCGCCATTAACTTTGGTAAAGAGGGAATAGTCAGCCATAGATTGGTGAAAACCCGCTTTCTTAACAGTTGTTGAAAATTTGGAGAACCAGCTACGAGAAGCTTGTTGCAGCCCATAAAGAGATTTATTAAGCCGACACATCAGATTCTCCCCCTGTTGGCACAGGCCAGGAGGAGGAACCATATAGACTTCCTCGTGCAAGTCACCATGGAGGAAGGCCTTTGTAACATCAAGTTGGTGAAGAAACCAATTACGAGCAGTAGTAACAGACAAAAGACAACGGAGAGTAGTATGCTTTGCAGTAAGAGAGAAAGTCTCACTGTAATCAACACCCTCGATTTGGGTGTAACCTTTGGCGACGAGACGACCTTTGTAACGCTCAATGGTGCCATCAGATTTGTATTTGAGTTTAAACACCCATTTGCACCCAATGGGTTGATGACCAGCCGGTAAGGGCATAAGGGTCCAAGTGCGATTGAGTTGCAATGCATTTAACTCGACCGTCATAGCAAGTAGCCAGTTAGGATCTAAAGCAGCTTGAGCATAGGAAGTGGGCTCAGTGGTGCCTGAAATGTTAGCAAGAAACACACGGTGCGAAGGAGAAAAACGGTGATTAGAAAGGTAATGAGACAATGGGTGTTTAGTACTTAAAGGAAGAGCCGGCAGTGAGGATGATGGAGCAGGGGAAGCAGAAGCAAAAGACATAAGGTAATCGCGTTGCCAGAGAGGGGGCTGCGTAGAACGGGTCGAGTGACGTTGGGGCAGGAAAGGAGGAACAGAGGTAGGAGAAGGAGGCAACAATGTAGGTGGAGGTAGAGGATCTTGGGAGGAAGCGGGTGCGGGCGTGGGAAAAGAAGCAGGCGCATGAGTGGGTAAGGAGGAGGTGTGGTCGGGTTGAGAAAGAGGTAAGACAGTAGGGTGAGTGCAAATTGGGTTAGAAGGAGAGTTGGGTTGGTAAGGAAAAATGGTTTCAAAAAATTTGACATCCCGACTCACAAGAAAATTTTTAGAATCCAAGTCATAAAGTTTGTAACCCTTGTGGCCGGTGGGATAACCAAGAAAGACACAACGTCGTGCACGGGAGGCAAACTTATGAGCAGGATGAACAACGGTAGCATAACATAAACATCCAAAAACATGAAGATGGGCAAGAGGCGGTAGTTTCTGATAAAGTAACTCAAATGGAGATTTATTGGCCAACAAAGGGGTAGGTAAACGATTAATGAGGTATACAGCGGTTAGCACACACTCACCCCAAAATGACAAGGGAATGTGTGATTGAAAATGCAAAGCATGAGCAATGTTAAGAATATGCCGGTGTTTGCGCTCAACCACCCCATTTTGCTGAGGAGTAGAAACACATGAGCATTGAAATTCGACACCAGTATTAAGAAAAAAATCCCGCATGGAAATAAATTCGGATCCATTATCGCTTCTAAGAGTTTTGATGCTGACATTAAACTGATTATAGACTAGGGCAAAGAAAGCTTTAAGCAAGGCCTATGTTTTAGATTTGTATGTCATCAAGAAGACCCAAGTACACCTAGTAAAATCATCCACAATTGTAAGGAAGTAACGTGCAACAATATGTGAGGGAATGCGATGTGGAACCCAAATATCACAATGAAGTAATTCAAATGGTGAAACAGTTAATGTTTTACTTAAGGGAAAGGGAATGCATGTTTGCTTAGCCATAGGACAAACAACACAATCATTTTTAAATGAAATAGACATGGAGAGAAACAATTTATATAAGAGTTGAAGACGAGCTAATGAAGGATGCCCAAGACGTTGGTGCCAGATTGAGGACGGTGATGAGACATGACAGGAAAGTGGGGTTGTGGTCAACGGCGACATGTAGTAGAGTCCATTATTCTGCTTGCCCCAGCCAATCATCTTCCCCGAAGCCAAGTCCTGGATGACACAAAAATCAGCAAAAAGAATGAG